ACGAGGGGGAAAAAAGTAGAATCCTCTGAGGCTCTTCATTCACTCGCGTTATTGATGGTGACTTTACAGAAAACTGAAGATTGCGAACAAACTAAATGTTTTCAGCAGAACCTCTCAGCCATGCTCGCATTATTTCCTCTTTGTTTGGCAGATCGTAAGCATAAACTCTTTTGGTTCGACACGCGCGAGCTGAAGCAGAAAACAAGGTTAAATCTTGCTCTCAATGTAATCCGGAATCCTAAAGAGCAAAGTCACTGTTTGCACATCTAAAACCAATTTATTGTGATTTAGCATAGACATTTCTAGTTGTTCATTTGCAGCTCGTTTCTATATTTCCTATATCCATGTTGCATCTTGATTTATTCACTGGCACCTAAGTGTTTTTTATTCATTTGCAGTCCGTATCAATCTTGTCCACCCTTACTCGTCCTTTTCCCCTCTGGTTACTTGTCATCTCTTTTAATGTTTTTCTATCTTACCGAACTTATACTTTGTAGTCATTTGTAGTCTTCTCCAGTCTTGGTCATCCATCTTCCTTCTTGGTTTATCATTACTTCTATTTTATCAAACTATTATTCTGAAGTAATTTACAATCCTTGTCAATCTCGCTCATCCATAGTCATCCTTGTTGCTTTTGGATTTCATTGTCGCCTAGCTCTTTTGTGTCTGCGTGTCTTACTAAACAGAAATTTGGTAGATTCCATCGAATTAAAGAAAGTTTTTCGAAGCACAAAATCTGACACTGCATGTCTCGATACAACTTCCTTGAGTTGCAAGAATTTTGCAAGTCTAAAAAGTGTGCTCTTGTAAACCTAACCTACACTCCTAAAAGAAGGCTGTGATAGATATCTACACTTAAGGAAGTTACCTCCGCCGTTCTCGTGACAGAGATACGGAAAACGCCAAATATTCCCCAAGCCTACAGCATAACCGATACATGACGCTATGAAATCACTTTTCGATGTCCATTTTTCGCGCTCTTCATCATGGCTCGCATCGGATCTTTCGCCCATCATTATAACAACAGGTTTGGACCTTGCTCGTCATTTGTTCAACTTCTTACGTTATTTTTTAAATCAGCTTCCCAAATTCAAGCTCACATCTCCAAATGAATCTTCTTCTTTACTGACGGAAACCAAAGTGAGAAGTGACTATGATGTCATAGAAAGTAATGAAGCAATCAGTTGCTGACGTCATTGATAAGCTGATTGTTATGGAGGGAAATTGAGTATAATTGACCAACAACCCGAACTCTCTCTTGATTGAGCAGCTATGTGATCAAACTGCTTCTTTATTTCATTAACGAGCTCAAAATCACTGACCTTCATTTCTTAATCTGCTTCCTCGCATGACACTTTCGTATCCGCCACTTGGTAAAGTTTACAAACTCAAAATAATATATGTGCACGCGCTCTGCCATATCGTTTCACCGCGAGTGCCATACCAGTTCAGTCGTCTTCTTTACAATCCCTATCAACACGTATCTGCTACGCTTTAAGAGCCTTAATTAGCATGGAACTACAAACATAAAAAATCAAAATCCGAATAAACTAAGCCAGTCAAATAATCCAATTAATTTTTAATAATTTGAATGTTACCTGCCAGGCACAACCTCATGACTTATCAAGTATAGGAGCTTTTATAGTTTGCTAGGCGATTGTTGATATGCACTTGTTTGTGATTGAACTTTTGTTCCATTTGCACGATTTTACAAAAATGATGACATTAAAAACCTAGATCCAAAGAAATCCCATCTTGTCAATTTACAGCAATTAACAACTGAGAACAGGATCGAGTCTGAACGGCTTTTTAATTTTGATGTGACTAGAAAAATCTCTAAATAGTGGTATCATTAGTAGAGGATGCCTGTGCACGCATTGCACGCACATTTCTTGGCCTCAATTTGAATAACAACAGTTTGAGCAAGGTAGTCGATACACACGATCTTATCTCAGCTTGGTTGTTGTTGCGGTATGTGCATTAGCATCTTTTTACAAGGTAGTTTTTTTTCTTTGTTTTCGTTGTATGCACGAACTACCAAGCATAAGGTCACAAGGGACTCATACGCTTAAACACCCTTCATTATGCACATTTTGTACCTTGCACGTTTAGTTTTAGTTCAGTTGGCGTCCAAGTTCAAGTTGTGCCGTTTCTTTTAAATGAAAAACACCGGAAAGGTTTGTCTGTTTTGCTTCCAGATTTTATACTTTTAGCTTTTGTATTCTATTGTATCTGCAACATCGGTTCTTTCTTTTTAACCGGCAGATTGAATGTATGGTCGGTGGACTGTTGAAGAATAGAGTAAAATTCGTGTCCTCGAATTCGTTTGTGTGCAGATATCATCTCAGCCTGAGTACTTTTCTGAACAGGTTCCCATTGCACATAATGAGGAGAGAGAACCGTGTATTCCCTTATTACACATCGTTTCCCGTGAATTTCTTAAAGGAGAGTCAGAGAGCAAAGGAAGGAAAAGTACTCGCACACTGCCGCTGAGGAAAACGTCTGAGAAAGAAACAGAAAATCAAAATTATCAACAGTTGTTGCAAATTTTAGCCAGGTGAGCTTACTATGGTGTGGTAATTTTCACAAAGAACGATCAACTAAAACGGCTTTGGAATAACTCACAAAATCTTAAAATCACACCGCCACGAGGTAAGACAAATATTTAATTATTTCCGATTTGTGGCATTTAGCATTTCCACATTCAGTGGGAGGGTCCCCTGTAGGTTTTTTGGGATCCGGGATTGGGCTTATTCGAAGGCCGGGATCCGGGAATTTAGAGTAAGAAGGAGCGAGGTGCGGGATTGTTATCATGAACGGGACACGGGAATCGGCGAATTTGATGAACGGGATTTAGGAAATCACTTAACCGAACCGATAACGGGATGTCTGTTAATGATAATTTTTGAAGAAAGTGATCTACTGAGTCCATGAAAAGCATCTGCCGTACAGGTTCCCTTGCATTCAAGGGCGGCCAGGCTGGTCAGCGACACCTTTCAGTTATTATGCGGGAATGAAAATTCTACTAGCAGCGAAGTTGCCGATTTACCAAAAGTCCTCAATGGCCCACAGGGTAACGTGGTATCTGACTGCTGTGTCAACTGAAATGCTTAACGGCCTTGAAAATCTTCAGCAAGTCTCAGAATTATACCGATATGACGCTTTTAACCTGTTGAGTTGCATGACCATAGAAGTGGAGAATATTCACTTGGTAGTGCACCGCAAAGATCTACTTTTCAAGGTAATAGATTACCCTAGAAACTTTACAAATCCAGCCAAGGAGGGCTTAAAGAGAGCAACCCATTGGGTGGCGTACTATTTTACAAATTTAAATTCTTGATATGCTATACCCGAACGTGCTATAATCCTGTTGGGCATACAGTGGAAACTCGATTAAACGAAGCTCTATATAACGAGGTCCTCGGTATAGCTAACGATACTCTCAGAGTTGGTTGGTGTAAAGTATTCATAGGCCAAGTGATCACTCTCATTCCTCTTGTTGAACTGTCTTTTATTCAACATTCACGAGTTGACTGTAGAACTGAGGTTTAGGTAAATTGCCTGGAGCAGCTAGTAGTATAATGTCGTCAATGTATATACTAAATGTTCTATTCTTTTTACACATTATTTACAGGGAGAAGAGACCTAAAACATTATGTTGCCAGTAATCCCGAGTTATGTTGAAAATCGATTGACAGAAAGAAATGAAGATACTTATGATTCGAGCAACCCTGTTTCAACCAAATCAAATGTTAACTTTAATTAAGGTAAATAAACTGGCGCTTCTATTAGTCTTATTACATGCGGGGACATGTGAGTGTCTGATTGACACCCTCCCCTTTAAAAATCAAATGTAAACTTTAATTAAGGTAAATAAACTGGCGCATCTTAGGATCTCCCAACTGGTCCGTTAAGGTAGCTGCATAGTTTCAACAACCGCCGAGCTGAAATCTTCTTGCTGTTGAAGTCTTCCCAGTGATTGAAGACACGTTCCTGGAGTTGCTGGTATTTCTTTCGCTGGATCCTGAACAGCTTCCCGTCGGAGACCAGTCGGATTTGGATTGACACTAGGCGAGACTCTTCATGTAACAGCTCCACTAACAGGTAGAACGGAAGGTGCACCTTGTTGCCTGATCTTCTGTTTAAGCTGTGGTGCCACCCCTTCGATGTCGTTATTTGTCCTGATAGGGAGCATAAAGACGGACCAGCAGCTGGAGGGCGAGGCGGAACTGTTAACCCACGTGTCACTGATATACTGTACGAAATCCTGAAGGCGGGAAGTAGTGGCCTGGACACGGAGTCTCTCGAACAGTGGTGCGATGTCTGACGCGGACAAAAAGGGCAGCGCCATCAACTTTCTCATATACTGGTAGGTACCGCTATCTGTACGGTATGCTGGCTCTAGTCCAAGCTCTTGTGCTTATAATATTGAAAAAGAAAGAAACAAAATAGGTTAGTACATAATCAGTCACATAACGTAGCTTTTTCTGTTTGTTTGTCTGTTTTTTTTCTCTGTTAGTGTGTATGCTTTTAGTGTTTGTTATCTTAACTCTTTTAGTGCTTTTGTTACTAGGTTGATAGTAAATGATACGTACCTTTCTCCATAAAGCCTAAGTCCAGTGAAACAGGCAACCTTGAAAGGCAACGTCTGGCAGCAGCTCCCTAAAGACGGTCCATACGGCTCGTTCGAAGTCCAACGTTACTTTGCGGACTGAAATTGATGACGGAAGCAGATCCAGTATTTCCTTAAGGACTGCACGGTAATCCTTCTTCTTTTTCCAGACATAAGCACGAACACGAGGGGGATCTGCTTTGCCTGCTCGCCGCTTCGGACAAACGCGTTGATTGTAAACAGCTGGCCCGGGCCAACTGATGCAGTTGCTCCTCTGTTGCAAAAACCAAGTGGCGTTTGCGTCTGGTCTGAACGTCGGCCTTGAGGAAATCAGCTGGTATGCAATCTTCTGAAAGTTCGAACTGCAGGTCTGTCTTCTGCAGGTCTGTCTTCGGCGAGAGGTAAGGCACTAAGATTTATCAAAACTCGCAAGAAACGCATCAGTCTCAACAGCACGTGGCCAAAACAACCTGTGATCGTCGTTTATTACAACAATGCATTCTACTTCTTGTTGATTAAGTAATGGTAACGTAGCTCCACATAGACATTAAAGCACACGTTATTTACAGTAATCGTTCCGATTTCACAATGCTGGTAAGTGCGACGTCACACCACACAAAAAAAAACAAAGCAAAACATATATTAACCATCCCTTGATATAACGAACATTTTGGTTGTTTTTCCACAAATTCGTTAAATCGAGGTTTTCGATATAACAAATGAATTTCCACAGTCTATTGACACTTAGTGAAATCGAGGTTCCGCTGAACTAGTAATTTAACTGTTACCACCTGTATCAATGGCACCACAGAGCATACAGACGATGAGAGAATGGGCGAAACTTGACATTTGAGCGAACTTGAAACTTGAGCGCTCTGTCAGATAGGAAACAACGACGGCAAGAGTTTGAACTCCCCGTCGTACTTCTATCAGAGAGAAATTCAGCCGGGCGAACTGGGCAGCCTCGAACGCTCAGAATTCGAGGAACAGCAAGGAAACAGCGGGAAACAAGGCGAAGAGGAAGATGGAATGTTAGAGAGCGATTCCCCAAATGATGATGGTGACACTCCCTGGAACGAGAGCTGATTTTTACCTCGGAAGAGGTTCCCGCTTCTGAAGAAGTATTCACTTCAACAGCAGAATTAGGTACAGTTGATTTTTCATTTACATTTTTACGTTTACCATATTACGAGCATTCCCTCTCTACAAGGCTTATATGCTCGGGCTCGGTCAGTTTCGTAAAGGTTCTTAATGTTTCAGCTCACAGACCCCACTGTTAAAAAAATTAAGACTAGGGGCTGTGGCTAGTGTGGCGGGCAAACTGTTCCACTGCTTTATAGTTCTAGGTAAAAAGTTGTACTGAAGATAGGTTTTCTTTTCGTAGGGAATTCCAAAGGATTTGGCGTGACTATTTCTAGAGTGTCTCATAAGTGGTATAAGTTCTTTAGAAAGATCAACTTCAACTAGATTGTTAACAATTTTGTATTACATAATTAATCTTTGGTCTTCGCTGCTTGAGACTGCGCCAGCCAAGCTCGTCAAGCATGGTAGTGACAGTTGCTTCGCGTCTGTAGTTGTTGCAAACAAAGCGGGCAGCTCTTCTCTGTACCATCTCAATTTTTATTTGGTTCTCTTAGGTAAAAGGATCCCATATAGTAGACGGATACTCGATCTGAGGTTGAACAAGAGTCTTGTATGCATTAGCTTTGATGTGTTTCTGGTGAATTTGTAGGTTTCGTCTGAGAAAACCTATGGATAAATTAGCTCTCTTAACTATAGAGCGTATATGTTCGTTCCAAGACATCTTATGGTGTACAGTGACGCCAAGATATTTAACTGCATCTTTGTCTTTAAGGATTTGGTTGTGTAGGATGTAATCATGGGTGAGGGGGTTCCTGCACCGTGTGACTCTTGGCACATTACACTTGTCCAGGTGGAAGGACATCTGTGATCTATTTTCCCATTCTTCAAGAAGTTGAGATCTTTTTGTAAGATGGCAGCATCGGTTTCGTTAGTCACAGCCATATATAAAATAGTGTTGTCTGCAAATAGTCGAACTTTAGACTGTAATTTAGCTGGTAGATCATTTATAAATACTAAAAATTGCATAGGTCCAATCAAGGATCCTTGAGGTACGCCGCTTGTTACCGAAACCCATGAGGATATTTTCCCTTCGCATACTGCTCTTCGTTGTCGTTGATGCAAGAAACTCTCTATCCACTGATTGATAGAACTATTGATACCATACCCTCTGAGTTTGCGTATTAACTTCTTATGGGATACCTTATCAAAGGCCTTCGCAAAGTGCATAACTATAACATTTGTTTGGCTATTGTCGCGGAGGTTCTTGTATAGATCTTGGACAAATGTAAGAAGCTGGGTTTCGTTTGAGCGCTTTGCTCTAAATCCATGTTGTAGCATGTATAGTATGTTGTTACATTCCAGGTGTTTCATTATGTGTTTTGTTACTACGTGTTCCATTATCTTTGATGCAATACAAGTAAGTGAAATGGGACGATAATTTTCTGCATTGTAACGTTTACCTTTCTTAAAGATGGGAGCAACATTTGCCTTCCTCCAGTCTTCGAGCACCTCACCAGAGTGTAGTGATTTGTTAAAGACAGCTGTAAGTATCAAAACAACAGCTGTGGCAAGCTGTATCAACACCCTCTGATGAATTTGATCGGGTCCCATAGATCTATTTGAATTGAGGTTTTCGAGTAGTTTTTGTACACCATCTGATGTAATACGTAGTTCATCAATATCAGGGTAAGGCCTATCTGTTTCGGTGACAGGAGGTTCCGGTTCATCATGTGTTGGATCTGGGAAAACAGACTTAAATTTATTGTTCATTTAAGATTTCTGCTTTGTCCTTGGGTTTGTCCCATAACGTTCCTTTGTATTTCAGTGGGGTTACGCCGACTGAGTTTGTTTTTCTGTGATTGATGAAGGACCACAGTTTTTTATTGCCTCTATTTGGCTCATCTGATGTTTCAGGGAGGATGCTTGTTTCCACATAATTCCAATAGGTAGCTATAGTTTCCCTTCTTATCTTGTGTTTTAGATTACGTAGTTTGTTCTTAATACTCTCCTTGTTTTTCTTTCTAGCTTGTGTGCTCTTGCGGTATAACCTATCTGTTCTCCTTAGAAGTTTACATATCTTGGCAGAAATCCATGGGGGCCTATTACGTGAGGAACAGCATTTGTGCGGTACGTGTTTCTCAATAGCTGCATGCAGATCAGATTTGAATTTATTCCATAGACCATCAGTAGTTTCAGAATTAGTATGCTCTTGAATATATTGATTCGCAGTGTTAATTTGGCTAGCAATTCCTTTCCCATCAGCTTTCCTATAAAGGGGAATCTTTCCCTCAGCCTGATCCTACCTTTTGGGTTTAATATCAATTTCTGCAAAAACTGCATTATGATCTGAGATCACTGGAAGTGTCTCAGTTCTGTTCACAAGTGTGAGGTTATTAACAGCTATGAGGTCTGGAGTGTTCTCGCCTCTCGTTAGTTGATCAAAAATCTGCGACATTCCATGGTCGGCGACTATGTCAATAAATAAATTGTGTTGAGCCGGAGAAGGGCAGTTTGGTTTAATATTGGTAGAAGGCCATTCAACGCCCGGTAGGTTCACGTCTCCAGCTAGCCAAATATGACAGTTCTTTGGAAGTCTGGTGAGGGACTCGTCCAGTTGGGCCAGGTTCTCAGCATCAGATGCATATGGTCGATAATATGATCTAATAAGCAAAGGCTTACACGATTTCATTTCAATCTTTGCCCCTAAGATTTCACATTGCGTTTCTGCAGATTTGTATCTTTGATTTCAGATTTGTACTAACCAGATCTTTGTTGATAGCTATAAATACTCCATCTCCTCTCTGTCCCGTTTCTCTGTCTATGCGACATATTGTATAGCCAGGTGGGAAGATCTCATTATCCTTTGTTAGCCATGATTCAGTCCCGGTAACAATGTCGCAGCCAATACTGTCTAGAATTGAAGCGAATGCTTCACTGTTCTTAAGGGCAGATTGATAATTTATGTTAAGTATCCTGGGCCGGGTTGTTCAAAGCTAGGTTAAGATAAACCATGGTTAGTGTGAAATCTAATTTCAGATCTGACAGTTTTAAAAGAAAATTCAGTCGAATTCTTTTTGTCTATAATGTGATTATTTGATGCTCTATAAAGAACACGGAAAACTATCCCGACGAGGCATTTGAATAAAGGAATAAAGAAAATCTAGCATATCCATACACATGATGAGGTTCCGAGGGTTTCATAAGTTTGGTCGCCAATAGTATAGCAGCGAGTATGAAAGCATCGATCACAGTTGTCACACTGAATGCCTCGTTGATTTCGCTTAACAGGTTTAGAGCAAAGCCCACAAGGAAACTTCTATTGAGGCCCTGGATTTGAACTAACATCACCAGCCAGTAAGAGTAAACTGAGTAGCAGTTGACGAGGAGAGCTCCGAGTTTGAATCCGAGATGGCGCCTGCTTGGCTAATTCGTGGACAAGCTCGGAAGGCCTCCAAACCTATGGATATTGGTCTAGTCCAGTTTATTAAAGCAGACCAGTCGGTAGGTTTGACGCATTTGGAAGATGATATACCAAAATTATTGAATTTAAGGCGGAAAAACAATGCTAAGATAAGAAATTTGATCGCATTAGAAAATTTTGCTCCCGCCATGATCGACGACCGCTGACCAACTTTATTTCCAATCTTTATTTCCCTTGTTATGGAACTATGGGATTGCAGTCACCTTTTGTGGTTTTTATGCACTTTTTGACATTTCTATTCGTTTCTTTAATACTGACCTGTCTTAACCTGTACGTTGTCCGTGATCGGAGTTAAACGGAAGGAAGGCGTTACCTTGACTAGCGTGCGATACTCGTGCAAAACTATTAAAACTTCGAAAATGAACGATATCGTCATTTTGGTGAAAAGAGATAAACTTACGCCTTACGGCGACCGTAGACTTCAACGGATCAACGCTGGTTGAGCAAATCATCACCTACTGAATAGGCCCTCTTACATTGAATGGACTAAGACAACATTTAATGATCGAAATTAGCCAGTATAAACCTTCGGAACCGCGGAATTGAGAGAAAAATTTTAGTTGGGATCACGGGATTGAAGAACCTTATCAGGGACCCTCTTCAGTCACCATTTGAACGCTCCGCAAGATTTTTTCAATCACAGCCCACGGAAACGTCTGTTTTCGTGGTTGAATGGGAGTAATCGTCAATCTTTTGACTGTCAGACACTTTTATTAATAATCTACGCAATTCTATCTTCTCTGTTCGCTTTTAAATGCCAAGGAGATTCACTGTAAGTAAATCCAAATGAGTGTTAATTAACAATTGGTTCATGCTTTAGCGTG